TGACGCCACACCACAACGCTACACTGAACCACAACGCTGTCGAATCGGTAAAGTAATTGTCCAAGGTCTAGAATTCTGTTCGAGCACATTTCGCCAAGTTAAATCTAATTCTCTTGGTATGATTAAAGCGTTCTACTAGTGGGTTTCGCTTAGAAGATAACTGACTTCTCAGATTGATGTGGTCTCAAACTAAACGTCGAGATCGTTTTTGAGAAATTTGAGGGCAAAGAACTTATTCAACAGCACAGGTTAGAGTAGCTTCAGGGTTTAATACACTTGTCTAGAATGGTGCATGATTTTCTGAACGAGGAAATGAAGGATATCCACAACACTTACTCCTAAACAGTGGCATGAAAAACAGGGGTCGCCTACCTAAAGTGGTGCTTTCGTAATAAGGAAAAGACCGATAAAACAGAACAGGCTTTATTGACTAATCACAACCCAGAACCACACATCAGGCGCCTTTTATACGAGTCCACCGCGCTGTCCACGCCGCTCTTTATATACTGCACCTCAGTTGTGTCCTTCTCTGGTTGGCTGCTTATCTTCCTCGCATGCCATTAGAACGCAGAGAGACACAGGATTGGCTGAGGCCAGATGGTCCGATATGTCGGCGCCCTAATCCGTCGCCACAGGTGTTTCTGAGAGATGATACCGTCATCTGATAAGAATTCGCACACAACAGTCGACCTTACATTTGTTGATCAAACTCCACCAAGTGGATCGGATACTTGTGAGTTTTTTAGTAGTTACGTCAAGCTTTCCATCAGATACATCTTCACTAACTGGCAACATTGATGGATGGCCGAAGTCATCAGATGGTCCCATTCAGAATTTGTTGCGAAGGCGTGGTTTTGGCTGGATGCTTGAGGTCGAAGCTGAGGACGTTGACTTTGATAAACCACTTTTGTAAGTTTTTTTGGCTATGTGATTTCTTTTTGATCTTGAGCTGTCATATCTTAAGGCTTACTTTGTCCAATTTTAAGCATATATGTGTATGTTTATATGCCTGCATAATTTTTAATTGGTTATGATAGGACGGAGTTGGATATTGACGTAAAATCAATTGCCCAGAAGATGAAGGCGGTTCTGCTACCCTGCGCCCGTTCTGGCCTGGATCCTGCCTCAGTCCGAGAGAACCCTGACTTTTGGGGCCCTCTGACAGTCGTCACGCTTTTTTCCCTTGTTTCACTTTTCGGTCAAATGAGGGTCGTCGCCTGGATAATCACTATCTGGTTGGCAGGATCTTTTCTCGTATATTTTGTAACGCGTTCATTGGGAGGCGAGGTTGCCTATGCTCAGTGCCTTGGTGTAATCGGATATTGTCTCTTGCCACAGTTCATTATGTGCGCCGTTGGATCTCTGCTCAGTCTAGGAGGTCTAAATAAATTAGGAATATTTATTGATGTAAGTTATGCTTAAATTAGATATTTGATTGGAATTTTTTAAACCCTTTTATTTATGTTATCCTAATGTGTGCTTTTTATGCCAAAGATACAAATTTCCACAGTTTTTAGTACATTTAAGTAAACACAAAATGAGAGTTGACGTTTTTCAGTAGCCATGTGCAACAATTCACTCTCCGTTTTAGTTGATCGGAACCCTTTGGTCCGCCTACAGTGCAGGAAAACTTCTCTCAATGGAGAACCTTCAAAGGCGCTGCAGTCTAGTCGCTTATCCCGTTGGACTGCTTTACGTCTACTTCTTATCCCTTTACACCGGGGCGTAAAATGACCCGCTCTTTTTTCATTATGAACTATCTTTGTCAACTTCGCCTTTCATGCGGCATTTCGTAACCTATGTCTTTCTTGATGCCGCATGAAAGCATCATTTTTTTGCTAAAGCCCACGTAAACGAAGCATACAACAATCTACCTATTCTTCTCATTGCCTGTGTGTCTGATTTATATGGCTAGGATTCTTGCATTGTTCTTTTTGGGTAACATTGAACAGTCGCCGACTTTCATTTCATCGGTCTTGAATTTCCCCCACAAAGGTGTGTATTTCGCAGTTAACGGTTCACGTTGCGTTGGATAAATTCTTGTCGTTTGGGCGACCCTCAAACAGCATAAAAATATATGCCATATCAATCATTATTTGTGCATGTTTTGGGGATGCAATCGTAAGTGGCATTCCAGCAATGGGTGGAAATATCTGAACTAAGAGGAGCATTTTGTGGACAGCCTCCGTCGGCGAAGTCTCTAGCGCAGCATTTGTACAGTGTGCAGGATCAGTGTTTTGCGGTGGCAATTTTCGTCGTATTTATCCCCAATTTATTTTACAGACCCAATTCTAATGGAGGAAGAATTCGTCAGCCTTGGTGTTATGGTAGAAGTCTATTTAACCTGGCTGCTAGACAACAAACCCTATGCTTTAAAGTAACCTTCGCGAATGCTGTCGAACCATGTTTTTTAGCATTTGTTCTCTCGCCGATCTCGCAATTATGTTTACGCGGGAGACGGGAATCGAGCTCACAAACAATTTCATGGACCGGTTCCGGACAGCAGTATTTCATTTTCTTGACAAAATGCTAAGAGCTCAGGTTTGGTCCCGACGTTATATTCCCATTTTTGTAGGCATCGTCGCTCTCAAAGTTAGACCTGGTCACCAACGACCTTGTGAGCAAATTTTGGAGTAATATTGTTACTGTTGCGTGTGAGTAACAACTATATTTCCTTCTAAATCCAGGTTCAGGACCAACAACGCCAGCCAGCTGAAATGCGTGAACCTCTTTTGAACACCCTTTTTTCACTGAAACCAATTTTATTAAAGAAGCCATAAGGTAACACTCCTGTAATTCAGAGCCCTTTCGATGGCAGTCTCATTGTTTACATTAAAATGTATTTTTAAATTTTGGCAAAACGCCGAGTTACTCTTTGATATCTTTCTTGATTCCCATAAATTTGATACAGAACGCAGGTAAACACATACTCTGCGCCTTATAATTTGTTCGATCATTCGACCCACAAGTATTTGCTTTCGAGATGGAAAACTCCTAGATCGTCCTAAACCACATACCAACTGACGAGTTTGTTTGCCTGTTGACAATTCTCCGAACTTTACCATTTTTATGGTGTTAAATTGATGAAACGAAATTTGAGGAATGAGGTTCAATTTTCTTAACTTGGCGGTGTCGGGCGGCCTGAATTCGGCCGAAACCCGACTAGTGTTTTGCGCGTCTCACTACGGAAAACACCTTTAATGATTTTGTCACTGCAGGCGGACTATGATTCCCAAATCCGCCGCTGTCGGAATCCCGATGTTACTCCTATTCATCCTCACGGCACCTCCACTTAAAGCTTTATTTCATTATTTCAATATAGGGCTTTACTTTTTAGGTCGTACTGGAATGACTGGTGGCTGACAGAGAATTTTCCGTGCTTTTATTGTTGACTTTTAAACTATTGTATGTGATTAAAGTAAATCAGTTTGTATGCAGTATTTCCTTTGCCGTGTTTGGCCCAGCAGTAAACGAAATCCATCAGCTGTTACTACTCAAAAGCACCTTTGCCTTTGAGGTTGGGTCATTTTGCATCTGGTGAAGCGTCCTCAAACCTCATTTCCCAGCGGTTATCAGCAGTGGATTGAAACAAGGCTGAAAATTATTAACTTGGAAGACAAATTATCGTCGATTATGAAGAAGTGTCAGCTATGTATGTCTATCTCCTTCCGGTCCATCAGTAGTAGATTAAGTTGTAAATTAATTTGGTGTTGGAGACTGAGTTGAGGGGAATTTTTAGGTCGACGCCTTATTGATTCTTAATTACCAAGGTTAAGTATTTGAATTAGCCTGGTTAATTACAGAGCCTGATCGACTTACGCAATCCTAGCTACTGGAAATAGTGTATGTTAGGGATAGACGCAACGTGCTTGGTGCCCCAGTTTCTGTCTTCCCTCCAGTGACCGAAACATTTTTTACCGGCCTCGGCAAAGGCAATGCAATCAAAAGGCTGTGATAATGGCCAGGGAACCAGCTAGGGGGCTGTTATAGGATTGGTGCATGCTCGCTCGCTCACCTCATGATGGTCGGCCAGTTCCGATATTCACCTCTACTCCATCGAAAGTCAACTTGCTTGGAAAACGCTGTTGATTTGTAATGCATGCACTTATTGAATTAACGAAAGCTTCTATCTATCTGTACCTGCACAGATACAATTTCCCGATTCAATATCACACATTTTCTCTTTATGATTTCAATAATTTTTTCTTGCCAATGATGGACGAAGCAAATTTGCGGCGTACGCGAAGGTAAAATGGGTATGATTTGAATACTGTACTTCCCCTGTCTTCCCCTCCGCTAAGAAAGGCAACAACCTGATAAAATGCTCATTGTGTGTTTTTCTGCAGTCAAAAAAAGTTTCAGAGCTTACACCCTTGACGATCCCTGAACCAACAGGCCGCGGTAAGAAGAGCCGAACAACTTCTTAATTCCCCAGTCACCAGTGGTATCAAATTTCAACTAGTCATTGATAACGCCTGTCCCAAAATGCTAAGGGAATTTCTTGAACTTTTGTGTGTGTGTACGTGAAAGTCTTAGTTCAGGCGGACTGTTACGCTCTATGGGGTAGAAGTATGGCTTTTGATTTTATGCGTCTCCGTCTGTTGGCGTCAAACGTGAACTGTAAGAAGTGACAGTAATTTGTGGTCTTCTTTTTGTTGACTGCTGATTTTGCAATATTGTCTCCTGCATCCCAAACACAGAAGGACAAGTGCGCGGATATCTCGGCAATTCAAAACAAAACAGCTTCCTTTTTTGCCAAACAAGAGTTTCGACCGTGCCCGTCGCAAGACCCCAGTTTTTGAACACAGAAGAGTAATGTTTTATGGGCTTTTGGAGCCTCCACTAAATGTTCTCCGTACGTTCACCATCACGACCTCTGTTTGAGCACCGCGGTCCAAGGGACATGATAATCCTCGGAATCGTCAACTGTGCTGAGCGCTTGCGCTTTCGTCGCTTCCGATAACAGTGTCATGATTCAACTGTCTTGGTAGACTTAAGCTTCGTTGATTCCTAAAGCGTCCTCGTTGTTTCATCATGGATCCAATGGCAAAGTGGCAATTTGGATGAGTAGTTGCTTCCACTAAAGACAAACGCACTACTTTCTTACATGCCCCCAAAAATTATGAGTGTGCTGTTTAATAACGTTTGCAGCAAACATCTGTTATCACAAAGTGACCATAATCCGGTAAAGACATTGTAGGTGCGACTGCACACAAAAAAGTTGCATTTAGACAAGATTAAAATCCATGCTTATCTACCTTTAGTGTCAGGCCTATTCACGTACAGCCTTTCAGGCTTAGCTTACATCTGCTATTTCACCGCTTGACCTTTCAAAAAATATGATTGAACACATTTTGTTCAGAATTGTGGGCAAATGGTTCAAATGACCCTGAATGTGACGCTGTCGGTAGCACCATTTCACATGTAGCTATTCTCACTCCAAAGATATATGAACTCAAGACTAATTTGCTTGCGTTCATTCACAAATACTGTCAATTTTACCATCCCATTCAATTTACGGAATAGTAACGCACAATACAACAAATTTTAGGCTGAAAAAGAAACAAGAACAGCAGTGCCAACGTAAGATTAACAAAAAACCCACGTTAAAATGCTCTTCAATGGTGCTTGATTGACAAATTGAAGATTTTTTGGTTAAATCTAAGTTGTGGAAGCGTGCCCGAAAGTACATTTTCCCGTATTTAAGTGGCCAACAATGAGTTATGTGGACGCAAGGTCAGTTTTGTTTGCTTAACAGCGTAAATGCATGTGGAAAAAAAATTGTGTACCATCACACAACGTTAATATGTAAATTACAAATAATAAAGCAATATGGCTTCACATATTAATGGGTTACTCCCGCCCTCCCATGAGCTAACGTAACGGCGTTCATAAAAAAAAAACATTTTTTTTCCATTTTCATGTATGCTTTCAACCATTCACGGCAACCCCGCGCAAAACATCTGATTTACAATTAAACCTAATGGCATGGAAGCCTGCTCGAATGTGCACAGTATGCCCTTTACGAGGCTACATTGCTCAATTTGGCGTGGCAGTGAGTCCCAGTGCATGAGTGTTCTGGTAATGGGACCTTTCCCAGTAGTCTGACTCCACTGCGCATACCTTCGCATTGTTTCTCGCGATTAAGCATAAGAATTGCGCTTGGCGGCATTTCAAAATGAGATGCCTAATCGTGATTAAACAATAGAGTGAGGAACTGTTACTTGTGAATATTAGCGTCGGAGTCCACAATTACTTCAATGCTCCAGGTCTTGATCTTTTCTTCGAAAATCACTTCGGCTTCCAAAGGCGCCTATCTAAGCTGCCATTAATCTAAGATTAGTTAAAAATTAGCTATGCCGCATATGTGGCTAGTCAGATTCATTTCCTATGGTCAATTTTCAGTGCTTATAAAGGGTTGTTTAAGAGCACAAGGTGGTTAAGTAGGGAATCACATTCCCTTTGTCTTGTATAATATGCCTTTTGACAAAGTACGGTTTCATTTTAATAGAACGGTAAGATACTTGCTACATTAAACTGTCAAGTACTTGGGGCTAATTGAGTTATACACGGCGACCGCTGGCAAAAACAAACCGTAACCAATAAGAACCAACTAAATGGCAGCCCAATGATAACGCGATTGAAGTGGGTGATAGAGTGAGTTTGAAACCGAGAGGGCTTATAAGCGTATTTAGAATGTAAAAGATTGGTGAATGATTAGACGCAGGC